GGGAAGGAGGAAAAAAAGGGATCACTTACATGGTCATTTGTTTTATATGTTGATAATAATTGTGATCATAATATTTCTTTTTATTATAATAACTTCCTCTGCTTTTAAAATTAAAATTAATATTGAAATTTTATTTTTTATATAAAGAGATAAAATGAAAAAAAACACATCCTTTGTTTCGCAATATTTCTTTGGGTTTCTCAATATTAAATAAATTATTAGGATTAGTAATTTTAATATTGAAACCTATAAATGTAGAATTGATCAATACAATATTCTTTTTGATATATTTTCATAAACTAGGGGACATTAATATACATTTTAATAATAATCTAAATAAACCTTCTATTATTCTTAAAATTATTTATCATGTTAATCAATTTCTTGACTATCTGGTTCAAAAAGTAATTAACATGCGACTCATTTTAAAACCTCTCTCTCTTTCTCTTTTATTCTGATTACTCTCAATATGAATAACAATCACCTTATATTAACAGTTATTATTTATTTATAATAATTGTAATTCTGATTTCATCTGATTGAGCTGTATATTCTGACCATCTTAAATTAACAAAGATTTTGAATTTCCTTTATTTTAAAATTACCCCAAGCAGAAAAGAACGATGCAATCGCATTTGAAAGCTAAGACTTTACATCAGTGGATTGGCAGTTTGGGTAAAAACATTGTTTTTATTGATGTAGCTTTAATTTATTGAACTAACCATCTCTTTATAAATCTATAAAAATCGAAACAGTCTTCTCGAAATTTACATTCTCATGACAGTTAATTCAGAATGATATACAAACACATCCTGGTATAAGAAGATTTCACAAATATTTTGAAACATAATCAAATAATAGGAAAAGAATCTATATGAGAAACAAAAATAGTCGTTTAATTTAATTAAAATATTAGTGGTTTATTAATTAATCATTAAAGAACAAAAAATTTAATTTTTCAAATTATTGTAAATAAGTTTATCTGTTAGTTTTTCATCAATCCCAAAATCAAAAACTTAAGAATAACAAAGAATGAAGAAGTGCACAATTACTAATTTTTATATTTAAATATGTTGATTAATCATAATATTTCTAGTTTAACTAAAACTTATTCAAAAGGATTTTCCCACTTCAACACTTATGAAGCAGTGAGTGATCCAGAAGTTTTAGCTATATTGAGATATTGCTCTGAAATTTATTTTAATAAAAACTTTGCTTATATTCTTACAGTTTTAATTTTAACAATATCACATTTGATGATAGTGGACTAAGAACACCATTCTTCTAAACTAAATATTGTTAGCTTTAAAAATTCTTTATTCATACATTTCCAATAAAATATGATCTTAATCGATTCAATTTCCTTTGCTATTGTAATTTATTCTATTAAATTTTGATTTTAAGAGTAGTTTATTTCTTTAATTTCAATGAGGGAATCTATTTAATTTTCCTAATGAAAAAATCGAGATTAACTCACTCCTTTGAATATGGCTATTTCAAAATAAGGATCATTGATACAAAAATGATTATTTTAAATTGATTATATAATAGAATCACCCCCTACACTAATATTAATTGATTACATGTGTACATTCCAACAGTAATTTGAGACTGATATGTGACTTAAGTGTATAATCTGATATTTTTATCAGTTTCATCATGTTTAAATCCTAAGAGATTGAAATAACAATGTTAATAGCCCCATCTTGTTGGAAAATTGATGACTTAACTTGATCCATCAGATTATAAGCTTGTTATAACAGGGCCAACAAAAAAAATATCAGAGCTACTCAATAATATTTGATATCCAATTTGCTTAATGTTTGATAATTAAAAGCTTATAGTTACAGTATCCTGGGTCAATGTCAATCCCTAAATAACATATTTGTATACTGTTAGATTATTAAATTAAGAATCGCTAGCATAATAACTAACAAAGTTAGATTTTGCAATATTGATTTTGTTATTTTTGTTGTAGGAATGAATGTACGAAGATTTTGGATTTGTTATATTCAAATTGCTTATGACTTAAATGTTTTCTTCATTGAATGCAAACCAGTTAAATTCAACTCTATAAAATCGGGATGGACTCTCGCAAACTATTCGGATTGTGAATCCTCAAATTTAAATCAATAATTTTTACCAAGAGTGCTGATATTAAAGATATCTAGTGAATACCCTTAAGGAAATGTATATTCTAAATCCAATTTAGCAATATTTAAGTACACATCTGGTACTTAAGTGAATTACTTAGAAAAGGAAATATAATATTCATGCTGTCGAAAAGGGTCTAAACTCAAATATAAATTCAAATTAGGATTTGATGAGTAGCTGAAATGATTGACAAACCCGTATTCATACTTATGATTAGCAAGCACAGAAAAAACTTAATAAATGATGTAAAACATAAATGCAATATATTTAATTAATTCAAGAATAAATAAAATCTTCAGTTTAATTTGATTTAGCTTTACAATTCAAGTGTTACTAGAATCTTCTATTTTTTAAATTATTCTAACATATCTTAGTGCAATAGAATCGTTTAAATGCTTTGGAAACTTCTATTTATAGCGAAGATCTTTATTACATAATTTAGAATTCTTAATTTTGATGTATTTCCTAGAAAATGAATATCAGTTTAATTATTTATATATATTTGATTATTTCAATTTTTGAATGAAATACTCATATTGCCTATCATATTAGTTATTTTAACTTTACCTTGGTCTATTGTTAGGTGTTAAAGAATGGATAAGAGTTAATGTAAGCTTTAGATCTTTATATATTTATAAAATTGGATATAACCAACTTAATGAATAAGAAATGTAAAAGTATGTTTTTGTTGTTATTTTTCAATTCTCACTAATTCCACTTTACATTTTTATTATTGTTGTAGGCTGAAAACAAGATTTATTCATTTACAAAGGAATAGATATAGGGTTTACATTAATCTATTC